CGGGGTTAAGGGTGGGTGTGCCGTGGCATGCTGGGAGTTGTAGTTCAGCCTCCGTCGCGGCGGGCATCACGCGAACCTCGGCAGGAGGGCCCCGCGGCATGCTGGGAGTTGTAGTTCAGCCTTCGTCGCGGCGTGAGACGCGCAAACCCGAGATGTGGGCGAGCAAGTGTTACCCACGAAGAAACAGAGACCAGGCAAGTTTTTATAAAGCACGTGCCTCTTCTGCGTGCCCGGCACTGTCCTAGGCACTTCACAAGCGTTAACGCAGTTAAACCTCCCAACAGCTCTTAGGAAACAAGTACTATGACCATCCAATTTCCAGATGGGGAAACAGACGCACAGAGTCAGTGACAGTGCCTAAGGTCACTTGGCGAGAAGGTGGCCACTATGTTACGTTGCCTCTTAAAAGTAGCTTCCCATCATCTACTTTTTTCAGTATGGATTTACTGAGCACCTATTGGTGACTAGGCATCATCTAGCTGCCGGGCAGAGGGACACAAAGGTGGCAGCAAAGGTGGTGCAACAGGTCTAAGAGTCCAACTTCTAGGGGCATAAATGGAGGCGGAATGAGAGGTGTGCACGGAGAGCCCCCTTCCTCCATATCTGGGGCCCTTGAGGGGCGGGCTGCTTGCAGCGAGGGCCAGTGCTTTGTAGCAGTGAAGGGCTCCAACTAATTCAAGTCCCCATTTACCAGGTATATGACTTTGGACAAGCCTCAGTCTCCTTAAATGCAAAATGGGCTGTTTTGAGGATTTGAAGACAAGGTTTTTCAGCTCATAGTAAGTGTTCCATATGAGTGTTCTCTCTCTTACTGCTGCTGCTCTGTCGTGGTTCTTGGTCACAGCCCAGGGCCCCAGGGTTTGGTGCTGCAGCTGTGGGGTGCAGCCTGACAGCCTAGACTGGGCCTCCAGCAGGGTGACCTTCCCTCACTCAGGAAGGACAGGCCTGCCTCCCTCTGGGTGCCCAGCCTTGCTCGGTGGCTCCCATTCCTGGAGTGTGAGCCACAGCTGTCTCCCCCACAGGAGGAGGTGGGCCCTGAGTCCACAGTCCCTGATCAGGGCACCCCTCAGTGAAGAGGGTTCTCACCCTTCACTCGACATTGGTGTCCATCGGAGCTCTGCCTGCTCCAGGTCGGGTCTGCGGTGAAGGCAAGCAAGAGCAGCCCACTCTTGAAGTCAGGTCCTCAGGGTGGGGAGGTGATGCTGCCTGTTGACGCTGGGAGAAAACGGATCAGGCCTGGTGGAGGCATCAGGGCAGGCTTCCTGGAGGAGGCAGTGATGGGGCTAAGCTTGGAAGACAGAGCAAGGTGTTAATCAGACACAGGCAGAGGCGAGAGTGCTCTGGGCGAAGGAACAGTGTGGGCAAAGGAGTAGGAGGCAGCTGGAGTGTTTGAGGCCCTGAAAAATGGCTGGCCTGGCTGGAAGACGGGAGCAGAGGAGGGAGGAGCCCAACAGCCACATCCAGGGTCAGGGCGACCTCCCTGAAGCTCTCCCCCACCCCCCTGTGCGGGTGGGGCCATCCTGAAAGGGCGGAAGTTGAAAGGCCCGGTAGGGTCTGGGGCCCCAAGGACCCATGGAAAGGAAAGGCTCATTGCACCCTCCCCCACCGCAGCGCCCTCTGGCCCTGACCTGCAGTCTCCACCGAATTCCGGGTCCTTAGAAAACAAGCCCCTTATCTCAGTGTCTGGCTCCAGCCCTTCTGCTGGGAAATGCGGGGCGGGGAGCAGAGGCCTCTGTGGGAAGGAAGGGAGGGGCTGGGGCAGTGATGGTGGCTCTCAGGGGAGCAGGAGAAGGGGGCAAGCAGCTGGACCGCCAGGCACCTCCCAGGCACCGCAGAACCACAGCGGGGCATTCTGCCTGCAGGCTTTTCACGGTTTGCCAAGTCTTCCCACCCCCAGCCTCCCTGCTGGCCCTCACAGCAACCTCAGGGACGGGGACTGGTCAGGGGGCTCAGGGCTCCCCAAGAATACCACCACGGAAACAGAGCTGGTCACCACACTGGGCTTCCTCCTCCCAGAGCAGAGCTGTTGCCCAGGGAGCTGGCTTTCGCCCCCGGGGACGCTGAGCCTAGCAGACCTTGCTTCTACCAGGTGACTGCGTATCGCCTCCTCCCTCGTCCCAGGGCACCTGGGTCAGCCCTGCCACCCAGTGGTGGCTTGCCCCAGTGTGGGGGGAGCCGGAAGGACGGGCTATCAAGGGAGAGGGATGGAGGTCCCTCCTGGGGCAGTGAGGCCTTAGTGTTTCTGAGGTCTCATCATCAGGGGACATCTTCTGACCAAGGCTTGGTCTGGGAGGTGGGGCGGCGTCTAGGTACCTGCATGTGTGCCTGTGTATGTGTGTGTGCACGTAGATGTGTATGAGTTGTGCGCGCATGTTGGTGTGTCCATGAGCGTGCACATTTGTGTGGGTATTGTTTATGTGTGCACATGTGTGTGTACATGCATGGGAGTATATGTAACCATGTGTGTAAGTATGTGTTTGCATGTGTGTGTGGGCAGACCTCAGAGATACTGCGAGTTCAGCTCCAGACCACTGCAAGAACATGAGTATCACAATAAAGCAGCAAGTCACACGAATTTTTTGGTTTCCCAATAATTGCATATAAAATTTATGCTTGCACTACACTGTAGTCTTTTAAGAGTGCAATAGCATTATGTCTAAAAACGGTGTGCATACCTTAATTTAAAAATATTTTTACATGACTTTATTGCTAAAAAAGGCTAACCATCATCTAAGCCTTCAGCGAGTGGGAATCTTTCTGTTAATGGAGAGTTTGAAATATTGGGAGACTTACCAAAATGTGACACAGAGACACAAAGGGAGCAAATGCTCTTGGAAAAATGGCGCTGATAGACAAGCTCGATGCACGGTTGCTGCAGGGTTGCTGCAAACCTTCAATTTGTTTGAAAAAAAAAGGAAGGAAGAAAGAAAAAGCAATAGTCTCGAATTGTAGTACAGTGCGGTATGTCTGTACGTGTGTGTGTTCGTGGGGTTTGTGCCCGTGTTTGTGTACCTGGGCATACACATGTATGTCTGTGCGCATGAGTATATGTGTGTGCATGTGTTCCTGGAGTGTGTCTGAGATCTGGGTCACCTTGTTGATAAACTGGGGACAGACTGCAGCTCCCAGGCCAGGATGAGAAGCCAGAAGCCCCCTGTGCAGCCAGCCTTGCCTGCCCCCTCCCCACCACTCCGTGTCCAGAGGAAGAGTCCAGCCTACTCCCCAGCTGCCACCCCAGAGGTGGGGGGTCCTCCTGCCTCCATGCAAACTTGCCCACCTCATGCATCAGGTGCCCATTTCCCCATGGCCCCCGCCCTGGGTCAGGCCACCTTGGGCTCCTGCGCTGCCCCTAGGATGCAGCCCTTCCTGCCTCCCTGGCCGCATCCTTGCAGCTGTCTCCCTCACACCACTGCAGGCTGTTGGCAACTGTTCTGTTCCCCGAATGCGCTGGCCTCACTCTCACCCCGAGATCTTTGCACCTGCTGTTCCTTCTGCCCGGAAACCCCAACCATCGGCACGTGTCCCTGGTTACCACCTTCTGCGTCTTGTCTCAGCTGAGAGGCTCCTTCCGGGAAGCTCCCCGGCCTGGTCCAGAGGGGGAGGAGGCGACTCTCTCTAGGGTGCCTGTAGCGTCTCTTTTTAGCTTTCAGGTGATGGGCAGGGGCCAGAACACTATCAACCTTTGCAGCATCCTATGTGCCCCACTGAGCACCGGCCCACAGCACTCAGTTTATTCCAGTTGAATGGTTGATAAGGGTGACACACAGTCCAGCTTCCCCTGACCCCGGGACCCCCAGGCAATGTGGACACTCGTGTGAGGCAAGGAGCCCCATCTGGAGCTCTGACCTGGGTGGACCAGGGCAGGAGGACGCAGGAGTGGTTGAGGATCAGACCCCGGCCCCGTCTCAGGCTCCCCATGGGGAAAGTTAGGGGGTCCCCAAGAAAGCCCCTTCCCTGGCCTGGAGATAATTCACCACTCCCCAGAGTAATGGGAAGACAGCAGGCAGGCTTTCTGGGAGCTATGAGTACTGGGGTGGCTATCTCTCCCAGCACCCCAGGCTCCCTGGCACCCCTCCAGCCGTAGGCTCTGGGGTGTGGGCGCATGTGCGTGCACGCGCGCGCGCACACACACACACACACACACACACATGCACGAGCCAAGTTCAGTGTGTATATTCCTGTAACGCTGGGCCGCTGGCAGGAAGTGAGCAGCGGGGAGGCCACTGCTGGGAACCCGGGGCTGGCCCTGCTGAGATAAAGGGAGGCAGCAGATTGGAGCTGTAGATAGCGGCCTGGGTCCTGTAAACAGGTTGGGGAGATGTCCTTCCCATCCCAGCCTCTTGGCCCTGAGCCCGCAGGATCTGTAGGGCGCTGGCCCGGGTCCCGACCCAATAGCCTGGGAGTCAAGAGAAAGCTCTTTGTACTATCACCTCTGCAGACTGGGGGGTGGCCAAGGACAGAGTGCTGGGCCTGAGGGCCCTGGCAGGGCACGGCAGTGGGTCGCAGTTAGCTCCCGTGGGGGCCACCCTGTGTCAAGGCCATGTGCGCTGTTGGGAGGGAGGGAAGGGGATGGGAGGAGCCTATCCGAGCCCCTGTGCCTCCCCCACTGGGGAGGAAAACAGCAGCGCATCAGAGGCGTCCCATCCAGAGCCATCTCTGGAAATCCAAGAGAGAACAGAGCCAGTGGGGTCTGCACCCCGCTGCTCAGCAGGTGGGCCCTGGAGACAGCCCACCGTGGGCTTGAGGACACGGTAGCCGGGGACTCTGCGCTCTGCAGGCCAGGGGGAAGCCACACAACTCGCATCCTCCGTCCACGAGCTCCTGGGCCGTGAGTGCCAGAAGCCGGACTGGGGGGGTCTGTGTGGCTGGATCCCCAGTACCCAGCACTGTGGATGCTCAGATATACTTGTGTTACCGGGAAGAGGGGAAAAAAGTTACCTGGGTTCTTAGTCACCTGAAAAAAATGAATTTCTAACAGGAGACAGAGAGTGTGCTATAAATAGATTTTACTGGTGAAGTGAAAGGCGGTGTGGTAGGTACACCCCCGAGGACTGGGGGAGGCCCAGGAGGAGGAACGGCGCCTCTCCTGTTTTCCCTGTTCCCGTAGCCTGGCATGGGGGGCGTGTTCATGATCGATTACTGACGGCCTCCGTCCTTGAGTGCCCAGGCTGGCTGACAGCTCAGGTTCCCGTGCTCAGGCACGCCCACCTCCTTTACGCATGTTTTCACCCAGGGTGCACACGGAGAGACCTACGGGAGGGGGCTCACCCCGCAGTGTTAACTGCGTCATAACGCGCGCTGGGCCAGGCTAAGCCGGGTCCTGCCCTCTGCTGTGCAGCCACGGCATTCGATTCCAGCCGGCTTCTTCGCTGGCCCTATTTAGAGAAAGTAAAAGTTTTTGGAGCCCCTTATCCTGAGCACAGGCGTGCTGTTATTTCCCGGGTTGCTCCCTCCCCCTTCCTCTCTCCTTGCCCAGTGCTCATTTCTGTCTAAATGCCTAACGCTTGTGTTGTTTTTTTTTTAAGTAATGGGATATCACAACATAATACAGACAGCGCATGAAGCATATTTGTAGTTTTACAAATAAATATAAACTCCCGTGTTGTTGCCACTCAGATCAAGACATAGAACATGGCCAGGATCGCAGGAGGTCCGTGCACAGCTGCTCGCGCTGCCAGAAGTTATGCTGCAGTCTGACTGTCGTGGTCACGACCTGCTCAGCTTTATGGTTTTGCCGGCAATAGCCGAGTGCTGCTCGTCTGGGGGACTTGATGTGAACGGGGCCATGTGTGCCCTTAAGTGCCTGGCTCCTCTTTCGACACTCCGCCGCCACATTCACCCGTGCTGTGCTGCAGCTGGAGTTCATTCTTGCCCCGACCGTGTGGTTTTCCACTGTGTCGTGGTTTATTTCTCCACCCGCCCTGTGAGACAGGGGACCTTCGGCTGCTTTCAGACTGGGTTTCTGAGCAGGCACGTTCACCCCCCGGTGGTTCCCGGGGCAGCTGCGCACACGTTTCTGGAGGGCAGACTCCTGGGGAAGAAGTGCTGAGGCAGCGACAATTCTCGCCTCCTTAGAGACACTCCCAGCCCTTCCCCACCTCGGCCGGCACCGTCACCGGGCACCTTCACACTTCAGAACAGTCATCCTGGTGGACGTGCGGTGGTTTCTTGTGATTCTAATCTCCTCTTTCTGATAAGTGACGAACTTGAGCACCTTTTCTGAGCTCTTCGCCACTCGGGTTCCTCTCCCTCGAGAAGCCTGATTACGTCTCTTCTCTCCGCTTGGTTTTGGCGGAGTTACTTCCATATGCTGGATGCGAACCCTCCTTTAGCTCTGTCTGGCAAAAACGTTTTCCCCCTTTCTGTGGCCTCTCTTTCCACTTTTGTGGAATTCTTGATGGATTACAAAGTCTTTGTTTTCTGTAGTTAAATCCCCACCCCCCATGATTAACGTCTTGTTTAAGAATGCTTTCCTTCCTCAAGGTCATGATGACATTCTCCTAATTGTCTTCTGAAGTCTGGAAGTCCTGCTTCCCCATTAAATGTAACCACTTTCTTACCCCGGGGTGTGGAAACTAGCTCCGAGAGAAGTCGCCCGTGTGGCGCTGGGGCTCTGAGTTCCCCCGACCCCAGGTGGCCCAGGCTGGCCCGGGTCTGGGTGGGAATCAGAGCATCCTGCCTTGGGGAGGGGCTGGGGAACATCTTAGTTGGAAGCGAAAGGGAGGACAGGAGGCACATGCCACCAAGGCTTTGGGGACAAAAGTGGCCTTGGACAGGCCTTTCAGCTCCGTGACCCCCGGTGGGGTGAAAGGCCTCTGCTGCCTCTCAGGAGCCCCTCCCAGAGTGCGCAAGGCCAGGGGCTCAGCCTCTCAGGATTGGAGCTGCTGGGTCAGGGTCTGACCCTTCCACAGAAGCACCCACACCTTGGGGTCCAGGGGATGGGCCACGAAGAGCTCTGGGTCTTACGGGCTCCTCGGGAATCTGGGGGTCCTGGGGGACAGAAGAGCCCAGGGTGAAGCCTGGCAAGCGGGTGGATGGAGTGGCTGGAGTCCTAGGAGACGGGCTGGGATGGTACCCCCAGGGTGCCCTCGGTTTTGCTAGGACGCGGCCAACCTCCAGGAATCACTTTGGGGTGGGGGCAGGGAGGATTGTTGGGGGAGCCAGCAAGCCCCAGGCTGGGTCCCCACTTGAAGGGCCTCCCTAGGGGATGGGGCAGCATATGCCTGGCAGTAGGGGCAGGAGGCCGGCAGATGGCCCGTGGGCACAGCTTTGGAGACGCCCTGAGTTTCAGGCCCCACCTGCTGGGCCCAGGGAACCCTCTGACCCTCGCACCTCCCCAGGACCCCCAGCCCTGGCTGCAACCAGAGCAGATCCTTGTACCATCTGGCCCACCTGCCCCCTCCCAGGCCCTGCGCCCGTCAGCTGGAGGCCAGTGTTGGGGGCCTGGCGTTATTTACTGCGGCAGCTTCCTCCTCCTTCCAGTAACTTGTCCTCCAACTCCAGGCAGCTTCTGATCAGGCAGCAGACCTCTAATCTCTCGAATCTTGCTCTTACCGGCATCAGCTTCTCGCTTCCTGTTACTGGGCCCCGGCCGAGGCGTGGGGTCAGCTCCGTGCTGGCTGGGCCCTTGCCTGTTCCCGGGGCCTCTGCCCCAGCCCCTTGGCCCATGAGGCGGGAAGGACAGATGCCGGCCATCGTCATGGGCATGACGGCCCATCTGGAATGGGTCCAGTTCCACAGACGCTGACCCTGTGCTGGGTGTGGGGGACCCGGGGACGAGGGGGCCACAGGCTCTGAGGCTAGAGCCCCAGGTCCTGCATGGTGGGAGGCTTGCGCCTCAGCGTGGCAGAGCACCCAAGGACAGCGCCCTTCCCCTTTGACCCTCCCCTGCCTCCCCGACCCCTGCAGCCACCCGGGCCAGAGCCTATGTGGGAAGAAGGACAAAGAAGGTTCTGGAGCAGCCATGGACGGAACTCTTGGACGGAAGGAGTCGGAGCTTTGGGGTCCAAGAGTCTCCTTTGGCCTTATTCCCAGGGACAAGGATGGGAAAGGGCTTCTGCTGCAGAATTCCAGGGCTTGTCCGCCGTGTCCACCCTGGCTGGGTCTCCCCAACTGTCCCAGAGGAGTCAAGGTCACAGGGGTGTGGGGGAGAATGGCTGCCCAGCCTCCACTGGATTCTGAATCCAGGAACAGACGTCTGGCGCCCTGGGGACAGACCTACCTTGTTTATGAACAGTATTCCCAGTGACGACTCCCGCGTGCTGGGCACCTGCCGTGTGCTCTGGAGACAGCCTCTCCATCACTCATTTACCCCAGAGGTGCGACTTGAACCCGATTACCTAGTACTGAAGAGCGCCCTCCCTCCCTCCGTGCTGTAACTGCAGGACCTTTGTCTTCTAGGAGCCCTAAGCCTTCTGTTATTTTCTCCCCTGTGGGTCTGTTTCTGCCCCTTGTGCCAATTTCTCTTCCCCTGGCAGCCCTGCAGAGGGTGGGAGATGGCCCTTGTTGGGGAACCCCTGGGCACCCCGGGCTTGGCCCCCTCAGCTTCTGGCAGCATGGTTGGCGTCAGAGGAAGCAGGCAGAGTTCGGGGGGGAAGGTGAGGCT